GTAAAATTTTACGAGTCTAGAGGATTCGTACAAAGCCTAATAAAGTTAAAGCATGACTGCCGAATTTATAAAAAAAATAAAATAAATACAGTATATATAATATATATAGTTAATATACAATTTGTATAACCAAATCTAATAAATGCTAGCATAACTGCCAAATTTAAAAAAAAATAAAATAAATAAATAATTAATTAATTTTGTTTAAAATTTAATTTTATTATAGTATATTTACTGTATTTGTTATTAAAAAATTTAGTATACTGTAACACTCTATCTAGACTTATACCAATTTCTAGTTTTTAGTAATATATATTATAATATATATATATAGTGTTTATAATTATTTGTTATACTAATTAAATTAATTATTATATATATATATATATACTATAAAATAAAAATTACTATATTTTGGTCTCACCTTTAACATTAAAAAAAAAAAAAAAAAAAATTACTATATTTACCATTAACATAAAAAAAAAAAAAAAAAAAAAAATTACTATATATATATTATAGTATAATAATAAACTTTAAAATTTATTTAAATTAGCTAAATACTGTATATACAATATTGTACAGTACGTATCAAAAACAAGTATACTATAGTATATACAGTATACACCAAATAAAGATCTTATCGTTATAGAGCATATTTATACTGTTGTATCGATTATGTAATTAAACTTGATTTACCATCTTATCTATTATAAAGATAAAATATATTGTATAAACAGTTTACAAAAATTATCAGAACATAATAATAAACAAATGCATTATATTAATTGTATTAATAAAAGTGAATAAAAATGAAAATTTTAATGCAGATAGAAGCTAAGCGGTTTAGAAAGTAATTTAGGCAATGAATTTTTATTATCAGGTTATTGCGGACATGATATTATTTCCGTTATAAAAAATAGAAATAAACACCGAATATTTGTATACACAATATTAAAAAAGTGCGACGTTTATTTAAGTGATACAAGTTGTTTTAATCTCATCGTCACGCGATAATGAACTTCATGAAAGTAGCCGTTTCCTAATATATAAATGTCAACATACGTAAGGTTCACGTGATCATAAACGTGCAGTGCCAAAATGACGAAGTCTGTTATCATGAAACCTACGATAATTAGTATGTAAAATGTCAATCCGAATAAGCAACATTGCACAGAAACTGAGTGACATATTGTGGGAAAAAAAGTCGGTGAAATGCGGGAATAATATTGATTCGGTTGCATAATACCTGATAAGACAATCTCCATTTCCACTAGTAAACTATAGATAAGATCATAGGACTATCAAATGAAACGAGATTATCTCTTTTATCTTTAATCACTTCTAGGTCAGACAACAGGCATTACGAATCTGTATCTTTATTCAGACACATGCTGACTGTTAAACTCTCCCACGCAATATGTCCCCAACATGCCTACAATATGTCCACCAATATCTCCAATAAGTCTCTAATATGCTTCTAATATGCCTCTAATGTGCCTCTAATGTGCTCAATATGCCTTCTTCATACTATTTTGCTATCTTTTCTTGATCCATCTGAATGCAACAGTATAAATATATTGGTCACCTAAAAAAAATTGTTACACAAACAGAATAAGCGAGATACTGCTTAGATAGGAGAGGTTCAAAATACCTTTCGAGATGCATGATATTCGAGAATATTTATCTTTAATTTTCGCAAATCTACACTTTGTATAGTTTCAGAATACTTTCAGAATCGTACAGTCTACGCCAATTCCACTTGCGTTTATATTGTATTCAAAGAGAATCGACGGTATCTGTTAATCTGTTTGTAGCATACAGCTGATAAAGTCTTATCGGTATTTATAGATCACGATAAAATAAATATGTTGTGCACAGCCTATAAACTGGTAATGGTAATGAATAATGAATATAATGAATGGTTTAACTATTACAAAAAACAGAGATCATTTGCTGATAAAAAAAAAAAAAAAAAAAACCCTGATACTCCACATTTTATTTATATAAATTCACAATACATTCACCCCCCGTGCAATTGATTTTCTTTTTTTTTTCACACGCGCTTGGTTCCAATTCACACTTGAAAACGTAATATCGTCATAAACATATAAATACATCATATATTTTGTAGAAAAAAAAATATATATATAAATAATTATAATAAATTTTTTTATTTTTTTTACTACAACTATTACTACATTCTATTTTACTATTTACTACTACATTCGTAAATGAATGATACTTCATCTTCATTATTCCCTTCGCAAACGAATTCCTCTTTGAGCTCTCCAAAATTTCAAAATTCAAAGTTTCATTTCTCTTCAATGGCTACTCAACAACCTCAAATTTATGGTGAGCAAGCATTAGACCACAGATATCATCAATATATTGGTAGCAATAATATGGAGACGCTCTTGAATGCCATCGAAGTATCACCCGTATCTCCTATCAATTTATCTACTCGGAAATTACAAATTTTAAAACCAAATAACAATGGTTCAAATACTTCTGTATCACATGATGAAATTTCGGACCAACGCTCTTACCATCAAGATGAACGTACTAGATATGAACAAATTCGTAGATTATTACCGCCTCCAATTTCAAAAAATATGCTTACTCCCGACGCAATGTCTATCTCTTCGTTGATAGACTCGGACCAACCGATTAAATCTTCGTCACCCCTTACTCCTCCGGATACGTCTTTAATCTTCCCGGGTCTTTCTACGTCTCCGACGAAAACATCCCCTGATACTTCTCCGGTTCCACTAGCTTCTATGCTACCGTCTGCACCTATGTCAGTTCCTTCACCAACTGATTCTATTCCTTTCCCTCGTTTACAACCTTCACCTCCTGCAAATATTTTTTTAAATACTTTTCCTCTTCCAAGTGTTAATCAAGCAATAGGTGAAGTTGATCGTACGCGTAGTTCTCCTCCTTTAATTCAAAATAAAAATCAATCACATTTAGTTTCAAACAAAAGAAAATCCGATTCAATTGATTCTTCCCTTATAACTGGTACTTATTTAAGAGATACGCGTACAAAAATACGTAGATCAATTGGTGATACTATAATACATAATCCATCGTATCCTTCTGTTGATGATCCTTCAGATTCTTCACAAAATTTACTTCAAAATGATACAGTTAATTCAACCCCTTTTCATTTTACAACTGTTACTTGTTATCATGCGTCAGTTGCCCAAAAATCTTATGGTAGTGAAAAAAGATTTTTATGTCCACCCCCAGTCGTTATTCTTGAAAAACCAAATAATTCTTGTAGAAATTTACATATAAAACCAGAAGTTTCAATGTCAGTTGTATGTGAAACAGGTGAAAGATCAATGGAACAAAGGGCGATGCTTGATGAAAATATGAAGGGTACATTTAAATATTTACATGTTAGTGGAACCGCTAAAGCAAAACATTTCACATTGAAATTAAAGATTTTTCATAAGAATTCTACTATTCCATACGCCGTTTTTGAATCAGATCCTGTTACTATTATATCGAAACCATCTAAAAAAACTGCAAAAGCTAGAAATATTTCATCATGTATTTCTTCTGGTGATCATATTTCGCTTTTTAATCGTATTAATTCACAAACTGTAAGAACTAAATATATGGGTATAGAAAGTGGAGAATTATGCGCAAAGAATTCTAGTTGGTCATCATTTGTGATAACAGTTGTAAATAATAACAATAATAATAATAACAACAATGAAGCCGGATCTTTTTCACCTATAAGTTCATCAAAGGGATCACCATCACCGATTTCTTCCCCTGGATCACCATCCTCTAATTCCGTATGTTCAAAGACTCAAATTACTTATGGTTCAGAAGTAGTCCTTTCCGATCCTACTACCGGTTTTGTTTCCGATCATTTAATTATTCGTAAAGTGGAGAAAGGTCGTATTGCTCAAGGTGCTTGTGGACCTGTTAGTCAAATGCAAAAAATTGCCTTACAATGCGTTCGTACGAATAGTCGAGAATCTCATTATCTTAGCGCAGCTGGTCCAATAACGATGGATAGTCCACAATTACAAGATCAATGTACTGTTAGTGGAGCATCACCTTTTCTAGGTTATCAATCTTCTCGAGTAGTTCATATGCAAAATGTTGAATTTGCAAAAGAACCTTTTCGATTGGTTTCATCAATTCAAAATAATATTCCTTGTACGAAATCTGATGCAACTTCTACAATTGTCGAAGAAGTTGATGATTATTTATGTTGGACTATCGTAGGAATTTGTATGTATTTTATATTATATTTCGTTTTTTTTTTTTATCTAATTCATAATAAATTAATATATTCTTACCATTATTATTTATTCTTATTTTTATTACCATTAGCAAAATTTCAATACCAATATCCTTACTATGAAAATTACGAAGTTTGTGGAATTTAAGTCTTTACGTAAAAGAAACAAAAAAGAAAAAAAATTATTACGATTACGTATGATCGATCGATCGATCCTTCCGCACCATTTACGAAATCACAAGGAGTGAAAACGCTTATCAAGAGTATCTACGTCTACGCATTTATTTGTCAATAAGTAATTGTGTGTGTACGAAAACAAATATATGATTTTTTGGTTAGTTTCTTTTCGAGTCAAAAAAAAAAAAAAGAAAAAAAATCTACGGCTATTCAATTATTAAGAATAAATAAGTACTTTTTCGCGTACCGCAGGAAATTCGTTATTCTTTTTTTTGAACACCTTCAAAGCTAGCGATTCAAAATTTTCATAACGATCAATTATGTCAAATTCGAAAGTGTCAAACTTTTTTTTTCCTTTTTTTTTTTTCCTTTTTTTTTTTTTTTTTTTTTTTTTTGTATAGATAGTTTATACATTAATTTTAAAAAAAAATTTATAATTTTTGGTTTATAAAGAGATTTTATAAATAAATTTTGAAGGAAAAAAGACGGAATCTGAAAGTGTAAAAAGGTTATAATAGGGTTATTATTTTAATATATAATATTGTAAATATATATGTAGTTAGTATATATTGAGTTAATTAATTAATAAAATATATATGTATAATTGGTAAATGTTAATTATTAATTAACTTATGGGATTAATTTCTTATTGTTGATTTATCGTTACGTATACGTAGAAAATTATGTACATACGTACCAGAAGGAGATTTATACTTGCTGTAATACTTATTTATAGTATTTTAAAGAAATAATCTAACGTTAACGTTAATTTTTTTTGGAGCGTACAATTTACCGATAAGAGTATCAATAACGACGAGGTTACTTTATCCGGCAACCATTATGATCGGGCTTACAAAATAACGAGAATTGTTTTTTTCTGATGTGATCTTTAGAATCATATGATAATCATTTAGAGTATTTTGGCAATTTAATATATCGATATGCTAAAATAGGGATTGGGAACTGGTTAAAAAATAATGACCAGTCAAAATTTATGTCAAGAGATTGGTTAAAATAATACGTACAATAACCAATCAAACACTGGTTTTCTATCGACTAATATATATCTTTCCTATTAACCGGTTTCTTAACCGTTCGATCAATTGGTTAACGGTTAAACGAAATTTCTTATGAATTCGTTCAAAACATTAGCATCTAAGAACAACTCCTTTACCATTTAAAAAATTACAAAGTCATTAACCATAGATAATTTTTGATTCACCGGTCCATTTTGGATGATTTTACCATCAAAATGACCGTCTCAATGAGACGATTCTAACGAGCCCAAAATTATTTAAGGGAACTCAAGGATTTGTGTCACTTCGTGTGTTTTAAGATTGGCTTAATCAATCCTAAAACATCCGGGGTGACACAAATCCTTAACGATCTATGATTGGGTTTTGATGATTCGGGGCTCGTTAGAATCGTCTCATTGAGACGGTCATTTTGATGGTAAAATCATCCAAAACGGACTAGTGAATCAAAAGTTATCTAATGGTTAATGGCTTTGGAATTTTTAAATAGTAATTCCAAATATTTGCGAATATGTTTATCATTTGAAGACTGCTAAGACATCGGGTTTTAAGTGTTGTAAATTTATCGAAAATAACTCCTGGACAATTCTAACTAGAGCAAACAATTGAATCAAGCATTATAAATCTCTAAATTGATTTCTTATGTTCTTTCCTTTGGTAATATCAAGAATGCTTACATTAAAATTCTGATCTAGAGCAGTGTTTCGGCCTAAACCTGATTTTGCAGATCATTTGCAGATCAAATTGGGCGAAACTAGTTTCGGAGGGTTTCGGACTTATAGGGCGAAACTAAAATTCCTCTGGGCGAAACGTTTCGGACTTTGGGGGAGGTTTAGGCCGAAACACTGATCTAGAGAATATCTTTTTTGGTCCAATTTCCAAGAATTTTGGTGTCAGGTGGATTCACAAACAATTCTCTCTACTCCTGCGTTTTTAGCATTCTATGATGGATATAGGTATGAAAAAGTCATCTTTGAGATTTATTTAATTTTTAATATTGCATGATCTTTGTTTTATTATAATATACTATAATAGTATTCATTTATTCCAATAGCGCTCGTACCTGAGTGAATTTATCGATGATAGACATCCAAGTGGTGATTTTAATATCAATTGGATCGGTAATGTGAGTACCTCGACATATCAAACTTAACGAACATCTTAAAATCAAAGCTTTAATAACAATTTTAAGATGTATTCAATTAGAAAAATTCGTTTGAATGTCAATATTTTAAAACAATATTTATTTCGAATGTTCTCATGCTGCCATATATTTATCATTTATAAAATAACGATTTTAAATTTAAAAGTAATAACAATTGGCTGTTCTTGTTATCAGGCATGATATAACGGATATTCATTTTGATCAATAGTACATGTTTAAAAGGCTTATTTATTTGTTTTTAAAGTTACAAGGTGAAAAGGCGTTTCATAAACTAGGGTGAGGGATACAGGAAATTTTTTGGGCATGCCTTTTCATGCCCGGTATGCCCCTATAAATATATATATACCAATATTATTTTTGTAGAAGCAGTTAATATTATAATATTAACCAATCAAAAGGCATCTTCACTTAATATGTGTTTTTTAAATATCAAATAAAAGGGCATGCCTTTTAGCTTAAAGGCATACCCAGGTGCATGCACAAGGGGGGGCATGCCCAAGAACCCTGTGCCCCTCACCCTACTATAAACATTTTCGAATGTCTAAACTCTAAAAAAAAATTTTTTTTTGTTCATCTAATTCTTGTCAGTTTACACGACTTTTGTGTTATATAATGGCGAGTTGTTATATATTAATAACTTTATCTGCATATAGAAAATATTTAAATATATCGAACTACGGTTTTTTCATGCAGATAAATAGAGTAGCATAATAAAATAATATGTAAACGGTGAATTTAATAAAAATTTGAGATACTTAGTTTCGGAGATTATCTCTCCTACTTGTCCCAACCACCACGTAGAGGTGTATCTCTTTGGTCAGGAAGGTAACAATAAAGGTGGTTCTGCGTTGACGCCCACCCGTCAGAACAAACGGTGTAGTTCTATTCTTTTTTTTTTCTTTTGTTCTTCAACAAAGTTTTTACTTAGTTCGCTAACAAAAACCTCTATGCCCAGGTTCTTTAACTGCTTAAATCAAGAAAAAAACGTAACCAGCTCCTTATATAGAACCAATAGACCTTGAAACAGGGGAGATGCAAAAAAGCTGAACATCATGGAGCATAGTAATAGAGCGAAGAAGAAACGAGAACTAAAAAAAAATTCAGTAAACACGCCAATTTAAATTGTAGATTTCCACGTTACACACATGATCATCAATTTTCATTGGTAATAAACGTGTCGATAATAACAGATAACAATAACAAATACCTAAACTAGGGCCACCGATTTTCTGCTGCGACAAATGCCTGCTTCTCAAGCCTGTTTATGCGAGATTATGCGAATTTATGCTGTAAATCCTGCGACTTTCTGCAATTTTTTAAAACTACGCCATAAAATTCAGCGAATTTATACAATCGAACTTTTTTAAAAAAAACTGACTTTAACTCTCCGTATCCTTCCGAGGAACGCACTCGTGATTTAGATTCACTGATTGTCTAATCGAAACCCCGGATCTTCAACAATTTATAATTTTCCGAATAATGCAAAATCTACTCTGATATGCCCAATATGCTATCGCATATGCTATGCGGTAAAATCCATGTTTATGCGCATATTATGCAATCGCAGATTTTCGGTGGCCCTAACCTGAGCCAGGGACACGGGGAAAATGCGATTTTATTTATAAGATTTTCAAATCCTATAAATAAAATCGCATTTTCCCCGTGTACCTGACCTGAGCCAACGAAACTCAAATACTAATATTACTGTATTATTAACTGCCTTTCTTATGCTGGTACAATTTTTCTACTCTAAGCTCAAACGTCGACCCCATGCCCAAAGAATTAACCATACATATCGATATGTAAAGTCCCTTATTTATTTATTATAGAGCCAAAATCTCATTCTTAACATTAACGACCATGGTTTTATTGTAGCTGTCTAGAATCGAACTGTATCAAAGGTAGATCATTTTTTGAAAAAGGTTTGCCAATAATCTTTGATTCTTCTTAAATTTAACTTGTAATCATATAAAGTTGCTTATATATGTTCGATAAAGGCGCCAATATCATTAATGCTTAATCTATTGAAGATCCTTTAAACGCCCACATAAAATCGTCAAGGCAAGTTTTGCTGTTTATGATTTCATCGACCCCGATAAAGATGATGTAATTATCGATGGGGGTAACTCTCATTTCCCAGATTCCATTCGTAATGAAAAAAAAAAAGTTTCCAGTGGTGTCTCAGGTGGTGAAAATGACGCTCGTTATGGACCTTCCTTATGCCTGGTGGTACTCCATCTGCTCGATATGTTGAATTATGCTGAATTATTAAATTATATATATATATATATTTTTTCAATGTTTTTTTCTTTCAAGCCATTGCTACTAAAACTGACAACGAACCATGCTGTGATTGGGTCGCGCAGGACACTATGTTAAAATGGTCCACAATGGTATCGAAAATGGCAATATGTAACTTGTTTATGAGGTATACCATTTAATGAAAGATAAGATCGTGGACTTTCACATAATGAAATTAGCGATGTCTTTGAAGAATGGAATAAGAGTGAACTTTATTCCTACTTAATTGAAATTACTCAAAATATTGTTAGATATAAAGATACAGACGGTATGAAGAAATCTGAATTATGCTGGTATACGTTAAATGTAATGTGGTGGTTGTATTATTCGAAGGTTGGTCAGTCTACATGCATATTTATTTTTAATTCACTATTTTCATTACTTTTAATTTGCTATATAGCTATTATTTTAAGTAATTTTTCTTAAAATTAGTTTATATTCTACTTTTTTTCTATATAAAATGAACGGTATTTTCGTAAAATTAATGAATTTTTTTACTTAATTGACTAGTGCTTTCCTTGGTAATATCAAGAATGCTTGTGTTAACAATCTAGATCTTGAGAATCTTCGATCCATTTTAAAAACTGCTATTAAGGATGCTCAAGACCTTGGCATCAAGTTGTTTCACAAGCAGTTCTACTCAGTATTCCTATTCCCGCATTAGTCTTCTATGATGGTTATAGGCACGAAAAATTACCTACAAATTTAATTCAAAGAAGAGAGATTACTTTGGGTATTTATATCTTAAACCAAAATTTCAATAACTACACAGATAAATTTTATATGTTTATAATGTATTCAATTAGAAAACTTCATGAAATAATGTTTATTTCGATTTTGTACCTTTGTCATGCTGTTATATGTTTATTATTTATAAAATACCGGTTTTAAAATTTACAATTTCCTGTCAACCGAATTGACTGTCCTTTTTATCATAAGTAAGCGTTTAAAGAGTTTATCTGTCTGTTTTTAAAGTTCCAAAGTGAAAAGGATTTCCATAAAACATTTTAGAGTTCTAAATTCTAAAGCAGCTATTTGTTCCATATAAATTAAATTCTTATCCTCTATTACTGTATTAACAACTACATGGCTTTTTTATGGCGAGTTATTATATACTTTATCGGCATGCTATACACATATAAAGAATATTTAAATATATCGAACTTTCGATTTTTAATTTTTTAACATTCATATACAATTTAGATATTTTATAGGTTCACATGTAAAGTTCGATTTAAATTTTTTAAAATTTTTAAATACCTTATATACATAAGAATATATACAGTCGCACCTTCTAAGAGCACGCCCTCGAGACTATAGTAAAAAAAGGAAAAATGTGCACTTAGAGGGGGTGTGCATTTAGAGGTGTTAAAATTTATTATTTGGGACCAAGAAGTGTGTGCACTTGGAGGAGTTTTCATATACTGTGCATTTAGAGAGTGTGTACTTGGGGGTATGACTGTATATTATTATTATCATTATTATGATTAAATTTAATAAAATATTGAGATACTTAGTTTCAGCCCAACCACATCATGAAAATTTTAAATTGGTGGCAATCGATTGACAGAAAGAAATGTCAATCATCCCTGCCGATTACCAGCGATACTGATTGACAACAAAGCTGCTAGTTAAAATCGCTTTGATTGAAATTGATTGATATCAAAACTAAATTAAAATCGATTATTTTTAATCGATTGTGCATCGATTAGCTACCAAAATCGATTATTGTCGATTTTCCTAAACGATGGCAATCGTCTCTGCAGCTGGTAATCGATATCCACCCTATTTAAAAATTTCCTGATGCACCACGGAGAGGTGTATCTCATTGGCTGGAAAGGTTAAGATAGAGGTGGTTCGGCGTTGAGTGACACCCGTCATTTGTTGACAGTGTAGTTTTTTTTTTTTTTAAAAAAATGAATGCCGCCTTGCACCTGTATTATACCCCAATCATATTCTCTACTGCGTCTCCCGTACAGGAGTAGGTTGTTCTTCAACGAAGCTTTTACTTAGTTCGCTAACAAAAACCACTACGTCTAGATTTAACTGCTTAAATCAAGAAAAGAACGTAACCGGCCCTTTATATAGAACCAGTAGACCTTGAAACAGGGGAGATGTAAAAAAACCGGACATCATGGAGTATAGCAATGGAGCGAATACGAACTAAGTGTGAGAACGAAAAAACAAAACACGCCAAATTTAAATTGTTTTGACTAACACCTGAACATCAGTTTTTATTGGTGATCAACGTGTCAATAGTAATATCATAATTATCCAATGAAAATCAAATACTCATATTACTGTATTATTAACAGTCTTTCTTATGCCGATATAATTGTTTTTACCGCAATATATTCTTTTCATTTCTTAACTATAAGCTCAAACATCGAACCATGCTCGAAGAATTGCCATACATAGTCCACTCGGTTATTTTATTATTTTATGTATATTGCCCTATAACGAAATTAATAACTTTCGAAAAATTTTCTAGGTTCTTACTCTTACTTATTTCTCTTTCTTTCATTTTTAAGTTCCTTATTTTATTCATTATAGAACCAAAATTCATTCTTAACATTAATGACCATGGCTTAATTGTAGTTGACTATAATCGAACTGTATCAAAGGTAGACCACTTTTTTGAGGATGAAGCAAAAGGTTTGTTAATAATCTTATCTACGATTTTTCTTAATTTAACTTATAATCGTATAAAAGTTACTTATTTTTGCATCAATATCATTAATGCTCGATCTAATGAAGATCCTGTTAAACGATCACATAAATTCATGCTTTTTGGTCAACGGCTGATTCTGCCGTTTTTCAACAGGAGGATTATTTCACTATATCTATCAGTATACAAATATTTACGATTCATAAGAAAGTTAAGGAAGTTGATGAAAAGTAAAAAAAAAATGGCATTTTCATGAAAGCAGCCAAGAACGAACTTGAAAAAAAATATGCAAAAAAGAGAGTGACAGTTTAAAAAATTGCAAAATGGTAATAAAGAAATTTAATAGTTTTATTTTCTTTTAAGTTATATTTCTGCATTTTAAGGCAAATAAAAACTAAATCGTTTTATTACAATATAAAAATTTAATTCGTGTTTTTCGAAACTTAAAATACATACAGTTAGACCTCTCTAAATGCAACCCCCCTAAAATGCGTAGTCTATGAAAAACCTCTCTAAATGCATGGCTCAACTTATATGATACTTATAGATTTTTATCTCTAAATGCAAAATTTCCAAATTTTTTCATATAGACCCCTCGGCTATGCATTTAATTATTAAACGTTAATATTGCACGTCAAATTAAAATAACCATAATGCCGTTAATACCTATCCTTACCAGTTAACATAGGGGTATATGTATTAAAATTAACAAATAATATACAATCAGATTATGCAAGCTATTATTCTATCTAAGGATGAAATTTTCAACAATTCACTTGTTTAGTGTCAGCAATTAGATACATTAATTAAAGAATATATTTAGATAATATATCTAATTTTTGGCTTCAAGCTTGCGAAAAGACAGTAAAATCATTTTTTATAATGTAAAATTTAATGCCATATCTAGTTGTAATTTTCTACAGTACGTACGTATACGATCATCATCAGAATACGCGAATATTTAATAATAACTTTTGATTCACTGGTCTGTTTTGGATGATTTTACTATCAAAATGACCGTCTCAATGAGAAGATTTTAACGAGCCAAAATCGTTTAAGGGGTTCCAAGGATTTGTGTCACTTCGGATGTTTTAGGAACCGAAGTGACACAAATCCTTAACGATTTCGGGATCCCATTATTGAATTTAAATGATTTTGGGCTCGTTAGAGTCGTCTCATTGAGACGGTCATTTTGATAGTAAAGTCATCCAAAACGGACCAGTGAATCAAAAGTTATTTATGGTTAAAGACTTTGGAATTTTTAAATAGTAATTCAAATATTCGCAGATATGTAAAATCCGAATTAAAATCTAAAGAATTGCATATTCGGATAATAGCTTTTATTCCCTGACCCTATTCTACATATCCCTTTATTTTTACTATATATTAATTAAGTATAATTCAGAGACGGCTTTTGGACAATTTTTAACAGTTTTAACAGTTTTGAAAAAGGTTTTTGACATATGAAAAGCTGTCCAAAACTGTCCAATTGCCAACACTGATACAAATACTGTATTCGTATTTATTTAAATCTTTAACGTTAAAGACAAATGCGTAAGAAAAAAAAAGGATTCATTTGGATAATCAGGTATATGCAAAAATTTACCAAAAAGTATCGGCTGCATAAGCGACCAATAATTAACATATGAAAGCCAAATTACTTAAGAAAAGTCACAAGCTAACAGCCAAGTTGCAATTATATTTCGGTGAGCACTGTACGTGACTTACCTATGATTTGCTACGGGGTAAATTATGTGATTTAACTGAGGTAAATATGATAAAAGTTATTTGTTCAAGTATGCGATTTATACGTAATACGTAGTAGATACTCCATATACAGTATATTCCTATATGCACTAATATGTATTTATCTATCTTTTAATTTGTTTCAACCTTGCTCATATTTTAAGTTCATTCATTAATTCCTCTTGTCCAAATTACAGATTTTAATGCCAAGCATTTTTAGTATCATCAAAAATATAAAAATTCGTTTCTAGCTTTAGATGACCCCTAAGAAGTTTGTAGATCATCTTGTGGTCCTTGTGGTCATGTGAGTCGGTACATATTGAATTCAGAATTTGAATTTGAACAGTGTGTTAAATTCACGTTATTCGTTATAGTTAGCATTAAAGTAACAATAAACGCAAAGCTACTGTAGTTTGGTTTCCTTTTGGCGGTATTCCTGAAGTAAAAATAACTTTTCAAAGTCAAGATGAAAATGAAGCATGCGTCACGCGTCAATATGACTAGACATAACCCGATTGCAATTCTCCCGCAGCAGCAGCAGCAAACAAGCATCCTTTGCCCTACTCCAAACTTTCTTGAGGACCCTGATATGACAGAAGAGCAGAGGCAAATAATTATGAAACGTATTCACGAAGTAAGGTCAAAATATGAAGCCTTTGTGGAAAAAGATATTAATCAAAAGGTATTTTAGTTTAGAACGCGTTATTTAAAAACCTATAATTAGTAATAATAATACGCAATTTTTTACTTTCATTTGGAGTAGATACAAACTATTATATTTGCTTCTGATTTATCAGAAGAAGAGGCACGCTTGGCACTGTCTCTTTGTCATGATGATGAACATGAAGTTCTTAACAAGCTTGCAGGAAAGGGTGCGCGAGGTTTTCGTAGTTTGCTACAACCTACTAGCTGCATATCTGGTGAAAAATATATAGAAGATGGTTACTCTTCTCCTTCAGTTCACTCAGCTGAAGAATTTGATTCAATAGATGAAATAGAAGTTCCGTTCACTTTACCATCAACACGAACCACCGTCATTTCTCTTGGTTGTTATCACAAGTCTCCATCATGGTGGTCAAGCCCAGGTTCATTATATCATCATCCAATTCCTATTAATTACAAGGCCAAACGAATTGAATCGAATACTACTTATATCATGTCCATTGAAGAAGATTTAACAACTGGAAATCCACTTTTCAGAATTACAAACCAAGCGACAAAACAATCTTTTACTGGAAGTTCACCCACAAAACCATGGACAATGGTATGCATATCCCATTCATCATCAAGAGGTACGTGCATAGTATAAAATGACGCGCTATATACATGATTCCCATAAAAGAAAGTATTTATAATAATATCATTTTTTATTTCTTAATTCTTATGAAACCAATAAATTAGCAACCCGTATTTCTGGTCCTTTATTCTTTGGATTTTCGGACCCATTATTACAACAATTACTCACAAAAATGGTTAAAGAAAATGATGTCGAGGAATATTATTACAGATTTGTTGGTGAAAGTGAGACATTTTGTTGTGAAAAAGAATGGAAAGACGAAGAAAGACAAATTCTTTTATCAGAAATCCATCGATTTTGTGGAAGTGTTAGCTCATCAATTTCGGATAGTGATGTTTCTTTTCCTTTTGGGTTAATTGCGCGTAATATTCCCAATCGAACGGGATTTCAATGTCAATACGAATACAATCGCCTAGTAACTACCGGTCAAATTAGTGAATTAGATGGTTGTCCCGTGACGTCTTTACGAGTAAATTACGACAAACTAGTTAAATCCATGTCTTCTAATGGTCAAATTAAACGAGCAAGAAAATTTTCTAGTCAAAAAGAAGATGATAAATGGAACGCGAAGAATAAAGCTAAATTTAATCCTTGGAATCCATTGCCAAACATGAAAGACGCGATTACTATGGAATATATGAATGAACCAGCAATCTCACCAGATGGGTTAGTTTTTTATTATTCTTTTTGTTGGACAAATTTTTTAATATTGCCTCTAACTTTCTTTTCATAATACTCGCAGGTATGTATGCGATTACAAAACATGGATCAAAATTCTACATTCTCATGAATCCAAAGATACCTGTCCGTAAGTTTAGTATTATTTTCTTATAAGGTTTAGCAAATTTATAAGTGCATTTAATGAAAAAATTCATTTGTCTTATTAAGATTCACTAAGAAACGGTTAACACGTCGACAATTGGTGAAATTGACTTTCGATAATATTGCTGACTATTTAGACAGAATACGCGAACCGTAATCAAATCATTAATTTTAGAAATATAATCATGTGATTTTTAGTTTATAGATTGAGATAAATACGGGTATTATATAGGGTTGGTTTGATTATTTTTCTTAGAATATGAATACACAATTTAAATGCGTTACAGTAAATTTTAATACACAAAATTTCAAAATATGCAGCCTAATTTATAACGACAAAGCGAAGTATTAAACATTAATCATGTGATGTGATCATCCTTATGACGGTTTGTTCATTGGTAATTGCCGCACCCTTTTATTATTATTTATTATGCTATGTGATAAATTATATAATAAAAGTACGTGTCAAATCAATGCTACAGATGCAAAACTTATGATTTGATACTCCTAAAATTCCTCTTATCTTTTTGGCACTGAACATTAGAAATCTGGTAGTGGTCTGTGTAATACCTCGGATATTAATTGAATATCTGAATATCCTGATGTACAATACTTCACTGAATTACTGAATTGAATATCCAGATATGTTATATTCACCGATTAATTTCCGATGATGGTTTATACACAGGCTGCCAATCGATGTATTTCAATACAGTACGTATAAGTATTTACTTGTAAATTTATTAATACGCAGCATTTTTTTTTTTTATTTAGCTTAGAAAAATATGTTTTTAAAGTATATTTAATTTATTTTTTTTAATACAAGATTTTTACCATATAGAATATTATAATTATTAAATAGCAATAAAATGCCACGTATATACTGTATATACTTTATAAAATATAAGTAATACTGTATAAGTAGCTAAATTAATACAATATATACATAATTTTGAAAAAAACTATTATGCAGTATATACAGTATATGTGATATAAAAAAAAATTAAATTTACTAATTACAGTATACAATACAGTATTATTCAAAAATATTATAGTCAGACCTCGTTATAGTCACTCTTGATATAGTCACAACCTTGTTACGTATAATCACACTATTTTTTTTAATCTTGCTATATATTATAAAATATACAATATAAATTTTTAACCTTCATATAGTCAACTTTTTATAATCACCAAAATTTTGTTTCCCAACCTGGTATGTACGTATAATATAAAAACTATAAATATAATATATTTAACCTTTATAAAAATAACAGTATTTTTAGTTATTACTGTAGTTAGCTTTTTTAAAATTATATTGTTATACAGTAGTATATACAGTAAAAGGTTTTACTATTTAAAGTTTGTCTAAATTAAAATATAAATTATAGAAATAAGTTAATAAAAATTAAACAATTTTTTATAATTAAATTTATAAAATTTTATATTAACTTTTTTTAAAAATAAAATTTAAAACTTGTAAAATTAATTTATAAAATTTTTGTCAAGTATAGTTAACTACTATATCTTTGTCAAGTTATTTTTTTTTAAAAAAAATTTATTACTGTATTAAAAATTTATTAATCTTACCACTATATACAGTACAGTATCAGATATATACTATACAGTAAAATACTGTATACAGTATACTATACAGTACAATAAATCTATTATATTTTAAATATATACTAATTTTATGAAATTTATAAAATTTATAAAATTATATTATAATATTATATGGATATTTATACAACATATATCTTTACACACGTAATACTAAATATACGGGTATACGTTTAATTTTATTAATAGTGTGCTAGTAATACGTTACTACCATGTCAATAATTTTTTATGCCGAGAGCTCTATAAAATGCTTACTAATCAACCGATTTATGTAAGATGGATACCTTCTTATATATGTTAGTACAAATTAAAGGTAATAAAAAATCAAACTTATTTATTAAGGAAACTTCGGTGATTTCCGGATCGGAAGGAAGTACCCGTAAATGAAAATATCCAATATATATGAAATATATGACTTATTTAAGTGACACGAGAAATTGATTAGCCTAAAATCTGTAAGCAGCCACGCCTATCACTACGTATAACACGATACAAGCACGAAGGGATGATAAATTCTGAATTACACATGGAAAACTTAATAGAAAGTTCATTTTTGGTAAAACCGATACTTAATATAATGATTGGCAATCCAACATCGACTAATCAAAAATGACGGATCGTTCGGAAACGCGAAAAAAATACCCTAGATGTTAAATAGTGGTATTGATAAGATTGACGTATAAGATTGTGATAAGATATGTTAGTCAAAAATCATCATACAAAAATCATCATACAAATGCTGTAACTGGTTGGAAACTTGCATTATATAAATCCCTTTCTGTCTAGAATAAATACATTAATAACACTGACCTTCTTTATCTCCGCTTTTTTAACATCATCAACCCTCCTATATTCATTCTTTCAAAGGTCTATTTCTCATATATCAGTTACATAAGCTGCTTGTTAGTTAATCTAATATATCCTTGTAATTTTCTTGCACTCGATAATAATCAACTGCTGCTACAAAATTCACACCTCTCTTACTGAAATCATGTATTGAAACCCGAATAGATTAACTTTGAGACCTTACCTCGGTCCTTTGTATATAATTTCCTTGCACATCCTCTAATTTTATTTTCGTTGTCCTCTCTTTCATTGTATTGCACATTCGTCCACAAAGCATACTTTTTGCCTGTGGCAGCTTTATCCATTCAACGCTATCTTTATGCGTTATCCAATAAATAGCAGGATCGATCAAAGGACTTTAGAGATGTCTACTTTAATCAATGAGTTTGAAGATATCCTAAATGCTGAAGTTTACATCGACCTTGATAAGCTGCGAGAATTGTCTAGACATGGTATTCCCATAAAAGTTCGAGGGGTAAATTCTTATCAGATGATCTTTTGCATTATCAATTTTTAATATCGAATTATTCTCAGTTAAACATTTATCCTTGATTTTTCTTCTTATAAAGTAATTTCTATCTATATCTTTATTTTTCCTCTAAAGGAAGTATGGAAGTATTTACTTGGTGTTAATCCGGCTGATAGATGTATGTAAAAATTAGTTATTTTCAAAACTATTCAGTGTTATTTTCTGCATATTCATAAATTTTTTTTATTTTTTTTTTATCAGCACAAGAGTTAACTAGCCTCAAAGCCAAATATGATGAATATTATAATATAGAAAAAGAAAATGCGGATATCATTAAGCGAGTCCGTGGCGAAGTTAGCCGATATCAACGTAAAATGAAGAATGCCGATGCTTTTAGTCATCGTGCAAATATCTTTGAAAATGTCATCGGTGCTCATATGAATCGTAACCGAGATATTGAATATCAACCAACTTTCGTTTACCTATGTGGTCCGTTCGTATATTGCATAAAAAATGAACCAGATGTATATTATTGTTTCACTCGACTTATGGCTATATTGGGTTTGTTTAGTTATTACTTTTTTATCTATGTTACTATTATTATTAGTTTTTATTCTAACATTTTTTTTATTTTTTCTATTTATTCTATTTATTAGACGAGTATAACTCTACCTACAATATAAACGAGCGTGTCGCGAATTTCATGACATTGTTCAGAGCGGTCATTCCTGATTTGTATGTATCTTGTAAATTTTTACTAAAATCGTCTTTGAGCAAGAAGCTAATTTGATATATATATTTTTTTCAGATGTAATTATTTTGAAGAGGAAGAAGTAAATATTAATGAATGGGCATCATCGTGGTTGCAATTTTTATTAGCAAAAGAACTTCAATTTGATGATTTAATGCGACTTTGGGGTAATTTTCAATCCTCTGTTATGTTGATAAAATTTATCAAACATAAAGATGAATATAAATTCTTTTTTTGTTATAGATACGTATTTTTCTATTCCCGATCCTATCGAATTACATCCATATGTATGCTTAGGTATATTATTACCAGATCATCATCATTTGAGTTTTATTCTTTTTCAAAATATTTATTATTTTATTTAATTTTTTAGCTGTGCTAAAACATACCAAAGAGAATCTTGAGGAGTTGGAACAATCGGAAATTAGGTCATTGTTATTAAGATTACCCTCTCTGGATATGGAGCAGGTATTTCTCATTAATAATTCATTTTTAGAGATTATAGCCGGTCAAAATTCATGTTTTATCGATTATGGCCGGTCAAGAAGTCGGTAAAATCATACGATAATAAACCAATCAAATCATTGGTTATATATATCACTATTTATCTGACGCAACAAAAAGTTATGTTTCTTAATCGGCTTCTTAACCGTTCATAATTGTTATGATCGATGCGTTGGATATTGATCGATTAAGTGGTCAATGATCAATCTCTATTCATTTTAATTTATTAATCAATTTTTTTCATTTTCAAAAATTATTATTGTTTTTTTTTTGCACAGGTAATTAATCAAGCCTTTAACTTTAGACATGAGATAATGGAAAGGCAAATTTCAGATAGCCTTTAGAGTCATGGGAGTCACACAAGTTATCGTAAATTAACATTATATCATAATGATATTAAGTCTCTCATTTAACGTATAAACCTGAGGTGTAATAAATCAAAATTTGTTTGTTAAAAAAGGTACATTTAAATTGTTCCATATTTATTATATATAGAACATAAATAGGCATACAATAAGCCATTTAACATTAATAAATAGATCGGAAAGTTTTAAATTGTAAAAGAATTTCTTCATTTATCAATTCCATTAAGATGTGTTGCACAGCCAAGCTTAGCCTCTATAGTTTAGTATGAGATTCCATAATTACTAATTTATAGTCAAAAACATTGCTATAATTGTAACGTGGCTATTTTTACTTTAATTATTTCTATCCGAATTCCTGATCGTAGTACGTAAGTACATGATCGAATCGTTATTAATAACGCTAAATTAACAACGAATGTCTAAATTAAGTCCGTGTAACGTCTATTTTTAAACTATGGAATGATGAGCTTATTTTAGTTCGTGTGAGGAAATCCCAAGTCATCTAACTCAATAATGTCAAGACAAAGCGGGTGGAATCAATATTATCACCAAGGTCAAGGTTATGATACAAGAGGAGCTGGCGTCGAGGAAAAGGGAGTAAGTCCTAGTGACCCTTCCTTCTGGGGATCTTCTGACAGTCGGCCTAATACCGCACCTAGTGCGCCCCCCCCAGCTTCTGTAATTGAGTTTGAAGATACGAAAAATTCTGGGAATAAAGAAGCCTTAGAATCTGAAACTGACGAAGATTATGCCAGACGTTTATATCGCGAAGATCGTGAAGAAATGGACAGACAACTTCGTAATAAATATGGACAACCGGGAGACGGTGCCTATTATAATACTTCAGACGCGCCAGGAGGTTATGCCTCTGGACCTCAAGCTGAACAATACGGATCTGGAATTCCACCACAAGCACCACAAATTCAATTTCAACCTCAACCAAGAACTTATTGGAGACCATATTTTACCTACCTTGTTACTCTTGTGCAAACGGTTTTGTTGATTTATTCATTTATTTATAATCAAAATCTAACCGGTAGTGCGCTTCAAACTAATCCTTTTAATCCTATGATTGGTCCTGGTGCAAATGTAAGTATTCATGGTTAATATAAAATATAATTTTTAGCCAATTATATTACGCAACTTATTTTTGAAACACTTTCTCATTTTAGACTCTTGTTCAACTTGGTGCACGTTTTGTTCCCTGCATGCGAAATGTTGCTGGTTTCAATGACACTACTCAAATATCATGCCCAACGTCTACTGGTGGAACTACTACTTGTAATTTAGAGACTTTATGTGGCCTTGGTGGATTTCATGGCGGTGGGCCTGATCAATGGGACCGATTTATCATACCAATTTTTCTTCATGCTGGTGTAATACATTATATTTTCAACATGGTGTTCCAATTAACGACTGGGAAACAAGTGGAAAATGAACTCGGTTTTTTGCGTTATGGTATTATATATATGGCCAGCGGTACATTCGGATTTATCTTTGGAGGAAATTTTGCTGCGCCAGCAATTCGTAAGCATTAAAAAAATTTTTTCTATTAGATGGTGACAAATTAAATAATCAACTCAAATTAAACTCTTTTTTTTTAATATTCTTATAACAGCCTCTATGGGTGCATCCGGCTCTCTTTTTGGCATCGTTGGTGTTTTACTAGTAGAAATTTTACAAAATTGGAAACGAATTCCGAACCCATGTTGGGAACTTACAAAATTATTAGTGATGATTATAATATCATTTTTACTTGGTCTTTTACCTGGTTTAGATAACTTTTCTCATATAGGTGGATTTTTAATGGGAGTAACTACTGGTCTCGCTTTAAATACAACATATAATTTTTCAAAAATTCACAGGTTTGCTAATATAATTCTCAGAATTATTGCGGTGGGAATTTCTGCATTATTATTTTACCTCCTTATACAAAACTTTTATGCTGGCGATCCAAACGAGAAATGCCCTTGGTGTAAATATTTAAGTTGTTTACCATTTACTGGATGGTGTGATAGTAAAATAGGAAATAGTACTACAAATTAATGATTATATTTTTAAAAATATGTGTACTTTAAGCTTTAACAATTTGATTGTAATGATAATAAGTAAATTTTCTGTAAATTCTAATTTAGTTAAATATTCTTGTATATTTTACTAAAATTTAGATTGGATCTTAAAACAAAAAAATTTGTGAAAATTTTTACAATCAACTTTTTTTACTATTAAGTTCACCATGAGCATCCCATAAATTCATCTCTACCATTTTTGTAAAAGGATGTTTAAACCCATGTGATACTTCCAATATCTTAAAAGCTTCTCGAAGTAATTCAACAATTTTATTAATATCAACATTATCCATCGACATATGTATTCTCGCAGTAGCGTAAATTTGAATTCCAAGTAAAGGATGTGCTCGAGAATATAAAATGCGATAAGCCTCAACAATTGCCAAAGACTGAGAAAGCGCCGCTGGCCAATCATTTAAATTACAATAGATATCAAACAAAGCTTTACGAGTAGATATTAAATTATAATTAGCCATATGGAGAAGCGGTTTTTGAATTTCAAAGGCTTGTTTAAAATATGACATGGCTTGTAAATTATCTATATAAAGTTTAATATATGAGTCACTGAATTAAAGATTATAAATAATATAAAATTTATACATGAATTCCGACCTTGTTCGCCCTTTTCATATAATTGAAGAGACTTGGATATACGTTTTTCCACATCTGCTACATCGTAACGTATATTGCGGAAACAGACTTTACATGTTGAAGTATATTCTTCTTCACCTAAATCCAATGAACCTACCAAAAGAAAAAAATCCATTTAATGATGTGATAAATAACATATTCATCCTCAAAAATGTAAATTACTTGGTGGTTCTATAGCATTAGAACATTGGGAATTTTGACATCTCAGCGCACTTCGCGGGTCAATATTATCTTTAGACTGTTTATTAAAATTTTATATAAATTAGAGTTGTTTAATATTCGAAAGTAAAATAGAATTATCGAATTTAATATTACCTTATAGTATTCGCAAGATTCACAATTGCATAAAAAAAAGTATTGCTTTCGCAATTCTTTACGCCGTTCTTCTACTGGTAGACTCAGGTCTACATAATTAATAACTAGCTACAAATATTGTAATTATTAATATATTATTCTGCAGAAGCACGCAAAAGAATTCTCCGGTCATATAAAATTACCTCCTGATCATTATTTATTGGTTCTATGCATCGAACCATTAATTTTGAATTTTCAAAAATAACAACACAATTGGGACGACAAGAATGATTTAATAAAGAAGCATTAGGATAAATGCCGACTCCAAAAGCAATCATTTCTCCATCCAAGATGGAAAAACTATTTTCGGTCATCTTTATGAAAAAAAAAATTAAAAAAATATATTTATCATAATCTTTTTTTTTTTCACAACGCGTCAAAGTGGACAACTTGATTTATTATTACCCGACAAAATAAATCCAACATTTCTGAAGCTGATAGCAAAGCATCTTGAGAGATACATTCTCGAACTACCATGGACATTTGTGCGAATGTTTCAATTTGTTCTTGTTTAAACATTGTTCGATCTAAATAATGCGACTTGTGTCAAGGAAATAATATGACTAGAGGTATGCCACGTACATTATCATACGTATCGTACGTGAAAATTTTTTTGCAGGCTCATTCCAACCAATTAAATTGTTAACGTACTGTATGTGAAAAAAATTCAGGCATCACATTAATGGCATATCTCTAAGCATGTAGAGGAAAAAGAACATTAAAACAAATCAGGATACTGGTTTGGAGGTTTTCAATATCTTTGAACTAAAGAATAGAGACGACTTAATTGGAGAGAAGAAATGAATATTGTCAACCACATAAGTAATATAATACTAACAGATGCCGGATCGTTCATTCGATGCATCAATATTCGACATATTAAGCGAATTGAAGTTGGTGGTGTTCTTTTTAGCCTGACAAATGATTTACATTCATGCTCGTGGTATAATCGATCCTTACGTTTACATTCCTAATCGTTGTGAAAATTTTATACAAACATACTATTACTATGATTGTTATTATTGTATTATAATTTAAGCTATGATCTTTTTCGTACCTCAGAGCAATAGTGAATCACATTACAACTTGAACAACATAATAGTCTACCACCTTTAGAAAGACAACCACTGCAAGCTACAGAAAGATTGGTATCATCCACCACAGCCACATAGGGAGTATCTTGAATGATAAGGTCACCTACCAAGCAAGATCACCAATGCTTATCTTGAATAAACATGAATGATTTGGAATATGAAAATGTTGAATATATATGAAACCTTATGCATTTTAAAAAAAATACCAGGTGATATCTTTTGCATTGCATAGATCCCTCTTCCTGAGCGATCACAAGTTTTAACGCAAACTTTCTTATTTGCAATTTTCAATATGCTAGTTTCCATTTGAAAAGTTCGATTTAAATCTTTCAAAATTGGTTGTTGAATGATTATCTACGTGTTTAAATTATCAGCCACTAAAAAATTTCAGATCATGTGATTCACATTATTAAAAAATCATACTTTCGTTTTTTACTCAACGATTATTAAATACATGGTCTGAAATTTTTTTGGGTGGTGATTTAACCCCGGCTTCACAGATCCTAGAAAAAAATTAATCAATTACCGTATTACCGCGAAATAGCGCACACCTGCGCGGTATTTCGAGCACGCGCATGTGCGCTATTTCGAAATCAACCTAGTTTTTATGAAATTCGGTGCTTTGACTAACTATGAAGTGCGTAATTTACTATTTGTTTTTTGACATTTCTTATT